AACACAACGCACGCGAGACAACAGCAAGAAATCAACGAGCTAAAAGCGCAAATTGGTAAGAATAAAATCTCCCATAATTTTACGAAACTAATCTGTTATTTCTTGATTAGGTGAGCTCCAAGCAAAGGTAAACCAATGCAAAGAGGCGGAAATGAAGGCGAGCCAAAAAGCCAAAGAGTTGGAAGCCAAAATGAAAGACGCCAAAGGCTACAGGGAGAAACAGTTGAAATCGGCCGAGGCGGAAATGAAAGCGCAAAAATTAAAATCGGAGAAAAGTACTAAAGAGTGGAAGCAAAGGGAACAAGACTACGAAACTCTAAATCTCGAGATATCAGAGCTTAAAACAGGCTTGGAGAGTACACGGGAGCAAATCAAGGCTGTTGAAGAAAAATTGGTAAACTTGAATGGGCAATATGAGGAAGTTGTTGCCGGTGCCAACGAGTTAAAGGTATGTGTATTATTTCTTGATGTATATAAGGGTGGTCGTTAAAATTTAAATTCTTTCCGACGCCCAAAAAAATCCTTTCTTTCGATGAAAAACTGAGGGGAAAAAACTATTTTTTAGTTTTCCTAAATAAGAACACGTCCCGACGGCCAATTGAAGTTCATTTTTCGATAAACTTGTAGTTTTTTTTAAAAATTTGTGAGGACAATTTTGTAGGAAATTGAATTCTCTACAAAAAAGGTTTTCATAAATTGTTCCATAAAGTTCATATTTATCAAGATATTCTCATTAGTAAACTTACAAACTCTATCAAGTCAGTCATTTTTGGACTAAAACTTTTATTTTTCCTGAAATATGAACAATTCTCTCAAAATATCTTGAATTTTAGATATTTTATTGATATTGTGACATGAGTAAATTATTTCCAATTTGATGATTTTTAGTGCTAAAATGAATGACTTAATAAAGTTTATAAGTTTACTAATAAGAATATCTTGATAAATATGAACTTTATGGAAAAATTGATAAAAACCTTTTTTGTAGAGAATTTAATTTCCTACAAAATTGTTTCCACAATTTTTTCTCAAAACCAAATTCCGTAAGAGATATTTTAACAAAACTACAATTTTATCAAAAAATAAACTTCAATTGGCCGTCGAAACGTGTTCTTATTTATAAAAACCAAAAAAAAGTTTTCCCCTCAGTTTTTTGTCGAAGGAAGGATTTTTTTGGGCGTCGGAAAGAATTTAATTTTTAACGTATATTATTTTCTACATGCGGGCGTTTTTGTAGGAAATTGTAAAAGAGTTGCAAAATGAAGTAAAAAAAGGCAAAGCCCTCATTGCAGAACGAAACAAGGATGTTCAAAAAAAGAACAACCAAAAGGAAAAATTGATAGCGCAAAATACGGAACTCGAATTAGAAATAAAAAAACACACCCATGAAATCAAAAAGTTACAGGATGATTCCAAAAATTCTGCTGCCAGGGTACAAATCGCTTTTAAAAGAATTGACAAAATTTATATATTATAATTTTTAAGGAGCGCGAATTTTCGAAAAGAGTAAAGAAAGACAACAGGTACATGGCAGAGGCTGAAAAACTAAGCGACAAGGAAGGTCATGACCTTGAAAGAAGGATAAAAAGTGCGCAGGAGAAAAAACACAAGCTGGGCAGAACAGTGAATGCTAAAGCACAAAGCATGTTTGAACATGAAGAAAAACAGGTGAGCACATTAAAAAAAAATTCAATTTGACACTTATTTGTATCTTCCACCAGCAGTAATGGGAAAGAAATTACTGCATTGGCATCCACCAGGAATATTATTAGTTAAAAAAAAGTTAAAAATGTTTCCTGGTAGAACATAACGTTGTCCTACTTTCAGACAACGTTGGTTTAACATAGATTTTTGTGGGGAACCTAACCTTGTCATAAATAACCTTACTTTCTCACAAGGTTATCTTTTTCCCCACAAACTCCACTTTCACTCAATGTTTAATGATAATTTTAATTTCAAAAACATAATTTTGTGGTATTTTTTATATTATAAATAAAAGTAGGTATTTGTTACAAAAGTAAAAATAAACCATCAAATGTTTTTTTGAAAGTTAAAATTTCAAAAGAACGAGCGTTTTCATTCCTCACACTTTCACACAACGTCCGATAACATATATTTTTACTAAAAATTTGTTCTTATAATAAAAGTATTTTTTATAAAAGTAAAGAAAAATAAAAAAAAATTAAGTTAGGTAGGGATCAAATTTACATCATTCCCCACATAAATTCCACTTTCGCAAAACGTTCGATAACAAATATAAGCAATTATAAGGCAATGTAGTAAACTATTTTTTTAATTTTTTTTCTATGCCTTATCACTTCCGGTTAAACCGGAAGTGATATATACTTTGGTTTTTTAATTGAAATCTTATACACATTACCTATTGCATTTTTAAATTCTACGTAAAACACTCACTACCAAACAGCCATTCCACGCGTAAAGGATGGGACAGTTGCAAGTTTTTATTTACAAAATTACATTGTTTTATTATATTACTAATGTCAAATTTTTATAAATGGTTCTAAACAAAAGCTGTTTAACGAGGTTTTTATTTGGCAAAATTAGGTATCGTGGTTGACCGTTTAATTCCTTAAAAATTAATTTTTTTTTATTCAAAAACACTTCTAGTACTGTTTTTGAATAAAAAAATAATTTTTAAGGAATTAAACATTCAACAACGATACCGTAAACACGGGTGACTTTGCACCCCGCGGGTGACTTTAACCCATTTATGAAAAATCTTTTCGCACTCGATAAAATTAACATTTATAATTTGTTGGTCTAAACCTGTCAATTGAGCGATTCTATTGAGTTTATATTACAGGAAAATCAGTGTTTTAAAGAAATAAATGGGATTTATTACACTTTAAAATTGCATATATCGCATCAGTGCAAAACTCTTAGAAATACACGCGTTACAATTTCTATATTATGCGCAATCCTTTGGAATGATGATCCTTGGTTAACTACAGGTCGATTTTTTATTTTTTTTATCGGTAATCCCTTGCAATAGATATATGTCGCTGCTAACGCGTGTCTAATAAAAATAAAATATAATATTGAATTCATTTTATACGGATAATACACTGTGAGACAAAGTAACCCGCAACCAGGGGGTAACTTTGCACACCCCGTTTTTAATTTTAATTTTTGAAACTCATCCATATGTAATATTATAACATAGTTATTATGAAAGAGCAACTCAAGACTCAAACTTTGGTATACAAAATTTAATGTTTGATTGCTAAAACCAAAAAAATTTTAAGCTTTAGTTTGAAAGTGAGCTAAAGCCACCCGTGTTTACGGTACCTACTTTTGCCAAATAAAAACCTTGTTAAACAGCTTTTGTTTAGAACTATTTATAAAAATTTGACATTAGTAATATAATAGAACAATATTATTTTGTAAATAAAAACTTGCAACTGTCCCATCCGTTACGCTTGGAATGGCCGCAAAGTATTCGATTTTCTCCTAGGCTGTAAAAATAATTTAGACCAATCAGGTGAAGTTTTTTACAATTTTTATTATAATTAAAGGGACCTAAGCCTCCTTGGGAAATTATTTAGTAGACAAATTTTAAAGTTTCCATATAAATCTTATAATAAAAAGAAAACAATTGTTTAAACTTTTATGTCCTTTAATGCAATTTAATGGACTTATTGCAATAACAAAATAATAAACCTACAGGGATTTAAATGAAAACTTAATTTTGTTTACCTAGTATTTTTCCAATGATTCCCCCAAATAAAACTGTGCATTCTCAGCCTTATGACATAAATAACTATTAATTATTTTTGTTTTTTGTTGAATCGGGTAAAACATAATTTTTAATTTTTTTAGTATAATGAAATAAGAAAAAGACTGGCAATCGTGGAAAACGACAAGAAAAAACTGATTTTGATCATGAAAGACTTGGACCAACAAAAACGAAATTCCCTAAAACTTGCACATGAGCAGGTGTCGAAAGATTTTGGCTCCATTTTCTCTACCCTGTTGCCAGGTGCGAACGCAAGACTAGTGGCGCCAATGGGAAAAACCATCTTGGAAGGACTGGAGGTAAAAAAACAAAAAATAAAAAAAATCATGCAATAAAATATTTTTTTAGGTTAAAGTTTCTCTAGGCGGAGTTTGGAAAGACAGTCTGACGGAACTGAGCGGCGGTCAACGATCTCTTGCGGCGTTGTCGCTTATTTTGGCTATGTTGCTGTTTAAACCGGCACCACTGTATATTTTGGATGAAGTCGATGCTGCCTTGGATTTATCTCACACGCAGAATATCGGAAACATGCTCAAATCTCATTTCAAAAAATCACAGGTAAGAAAAACATAGGCAATGCTGCTTTTTGACGTTTGGACATTGATCTAACCTATAAACTGTACAGCTGAAATCAATTTGACATTTCTTAATTTTTAGTTTATTATCGTGTCCTTAAAAGATGGAATGTTTAACAACGCAAATGTCCTTTTCAGGACTAAATTTATGGAAGGAGTGTCTACCGTATCAAGGACTGTAAATAAACACGCCTAAGTGTCCTTTTGTATATTTTACCAGGTTATATTAAGTTTTAAAATTAAATATAAGGCTTTTTACATTATTTTTTTTTATTTTTATTACCTAAAACTTTGAGATAATACTAAGTTCTCGTCCATGCATTTAGTAAAGCTTTTTTGTATTTTTATTTTCCATACAGATTGGTGTTTGCATATAATGTGCTTTAATGGTTGCTCTAAAAGCAAAATATTTTTTCCTAGGTACTGTAAAATAGAGAGTAATAATTTTCCCAATGATTTGTCTTCAGAAAAATTATCTGCCTCCATAGACAACAACTGTATGAGTTTATTTATTGAATTAAACTCAATACTTTGATTAATTAATACATCTATAGCTATAAAGTAATTCTCACATAAGTTTTTACAGTTTTTTAAGAATGCCCCTAATATTGCTGTTTTTGTAATTTGGTTAAAACCTGCAATATATTGCATTAAAACTCTGATGTTACCTTCTTTTTCTTCCAACAAAACTCTTGATATTTCATTGGCCAAAACACCATTAGTATAGCTTTCTATTTTAAATAATAAACTGTGCAACTTATCAGAATATTCAGACCTTAATTTTGTACTGAGAAGCGTCTGAAAATACACTGAAAACACACTCTCACTGCAATTAAATCTTACTAAAGAATTCCCTAAATTTACAACATCTTCGAAATTTAACTCTTCCGATAACAACATTAGCGATCCTTTCAATTTATCAACAGGATAATCCTCAATATCTCTTATCACAGATTTTGGTACTTCCTTAATTTTCTCCAAGTTTTCTTTTATAGCATAAGTAACATCTTCAACAACAATTGAATTATTAATATTTTCTTCCACTAAATCGTTTAAAGTCTCTGTGTTTTTTATATCAGGTAATTCTTCAAATGATTCACTGTCCATTATTTCTATGACTTCCTTTGACACTTCTAATGCTTTTTCTATGTTTGAATCCTACAATTCTACTTTTTAAATCTGTTCAATTATTTTTGTATGCAACGTTACTTACCAGTGGTAACATCTTTTTCCATAATTTGTACTGTTCTAGATCACAGTATTTATTATCCTTTTGTTTTTGAGCTTCTTTTACAAACTCTAATAAATCTGCCTTGGAATTTTCGCTAAAATTGTAACGAAAATTCATGTTTATATTCAAATTAATTAGGTTATGTTTATTAATGGTACGTATCGCCATCTAACGTGGTAATGCCACATACTTCCACAACTGTGGAAGTATGTGGGTAATGCAGACACCTAAATGTATGTATATCTTGACTAAATCGTTAATTCACTCAGCGCCTATAAATATTAGCATTATTATACAAGAGATAATGCAGGCTATTATTCACGAGGATGAGGTTTGCGTCTCGAGTCGCCAGACGAAAGACTCAAATCATCCGAGTGAATAATGCGCATAATCTTGAGTGTAATTTTATGCTTTATCTACTCCAATAAGTAAAAAATAAATAATCTGACATCTGTCAAATGGTTAACCTCACTTTTTACCAATTTTAAATATTATAGTCGCCTTCTCCCAATTCAAAACCCAATTGGTTTAAATCACAGTGAATATTAAAATGGGCCAATCACTGGTGCCTAACAACATTAATAATGAGTTCATTATTCCTGTTCTTATGTAGGGAATATATAATGTTTATCATTATACAAAAAAACCCAATATTATGTAGTAGGAGTAGATAAAAATAATTATAATAATAACATATTAGTACCTATACAATTAATAAAAAAATAATCAAATACCTTAAAATTTATAAAAATTACATTTCAAAACTTATTTTATTAATTATATTATAAAAAAATACATAAATAAAAAATTAATTATATCCAGAAATCATATGGGCCAAAGACCAATTTTGTTTGACCACCAATGGGCCTTCAATAACCGAACCTTCATTTTGGTCAATTATAGCAACTTGGTATTTAGGGAAACTCCTGGCATCTCTGTAAAACAAGACTTCCATGGATTTTTCAACAAGAGCTTTAGCTTCATCTTTAGACATATTTGGATTTTTTTCCATAGCCTCTCTAAGCAAAGGAACAGCAATGTGAGCCCCATACCCTGTGCAGATTATTTTATCTGTGAAGGCAGTGCCTAGTTTGTCTACTGTACCCAAGAAAGGTTCACCATCCTAAAATAAAAATATATTTAAGCTTTTGAGTTTATTTTTAATGCCAGAAAATTACTTGAATTCCTCCTATAACCAAATTATTCCACAGGGGATCAAATTTGCTTCTACAACTGTACATAACCCTTGTTAACCAACAGTACAAGGATTTTGGTTTTAGCTTAAAACCATCATCCAAACATTCTTCTTGAACACTAAAAAAACAAAATAGTAAGATTGTAACTACCATTTAACTAAAAAACTAAGATATACCTAGTTAATTCAACAAATAAAAAACATGGGAAACTCTTATATTACTTATGATTTAAATATTTATTTCAATCTTTAAATTGTATGGAATTTTTTAAGAATACATTTTGATTTACTTACATTTTTTGCTCAATAAAGTTTTTTATGTACTGGAAATCGCCGTAATCTCCACCAGCTCCAAGAATAATATTCTCATTGACTTGCAAAACTCTGGGGCAATTCCTGTAACGGGCTAAAGACCCATACGAACCCAGCAAATCACCGGCAATTATAACCCCGGTGGCGTACTTTATAGCCACAATGGACGTTGCTGTCGTTATGGGAGCCCTAAAAGTTAAAACGTTGTTAAAAATTTGCCAATCATTGTAAAAGTGAGGTTAACTTACTGAGAATGTTGAAATTCGTCGCTTGGGCCGGATTTCGTGTTTGGGAAATTATAGAAAGCCCCCGGTGCAGGGCCATTTTGCCAAAAAGGTGGTGGATTTGATGTTGGATCGAACATTTTTGATTATTTTTCAGAAATAAGATGACTGACACAAAATGCTAACCGGTATTGATGCCAACTTAAAATTTGACGTTTAAAAAACAAATTGTATTTTGCTTTTTAGGAACCTAAATTAATTTTAAGCAAAGTAATAATTTACCATATATGTGTTAACTAGTATTTTAAGCACAGATCATACGATTTGATGTTCCGATTTTACAAAAAAGAATAATAAAGGATAACTATTAAAAGTTTAAAAACTTTAAGTTGGTAATGAAGCAACAGGAGCGTATTTAAAAAATATTACTTGCATAAATATTGGCATTTTATGCATCAAGGGTGTTTTTTTAAATTTAAAAAATATTACTTGCATAAATAATAGCTATTTATGCAGGGCGTTATTAAGCTTGGAAATCTACACCCAGCCCGAGGGATGGATGTCGCTTGATGGGCGTAATCGTCTAGTAACGCCAGTGCTGCCCTACTATGGAGAAAGGCAGCTGCCTTACTAGTAACTGCAAAAAAATGCAAAATGCGTTTTCTTGTGCTATGGTAAAGCTATGGAAATTTTGTAACCGAATTTAACACAGAAATGCAGTCAAATATCTCATAAGTTAAAAAAATCAATGAAATACGTATTAGAAAGGCAGTAACTGCTAAACAAGGAATTTGTGAAAAATAATTTATAAAAAGCAGTAGGTACCCAGACCGCAAAATCACATTCCCTGCACATGTCAGGAATATTCCCAGGAATATTCCAAGCGTCCCAGAATATTCCCAGGAATATTCCTGGCATAATCAAATGTCCGCTTTTTGAATATCCCAGGCATCATAAAAAGAATATTCCATGTATCTGCCTGCAGAAGACTCAAGGATTATTCTGGGAATATTCCTTGATATAATTTGGGGATTATTCCCAGCCCTTATCCCAGGAACATTTTGGGAATATTCCTTACGCCGGTTTAAGGAATTTTTACAGGAATTATGCTCCACCACGTGACTTTGATAAAAATAATTAAGGTTAATTTTTTGTCAGAACCTATCAAGACAATTTCGTCTTATTTTCTAAAAATAATACAATATATGTATTTTTTGTGTTCTAAATTAAGACCTTTATACACAAAAAGTTCATATATTTCATTGCATTTAGGAAATAGGATAAAATAAGCTTGACACTGACAGAAAATTAACCTTAATTATTTTTATCAGTCACGTGGTGGAGCATAGTTCCTGTAAAAATTCCTTATACAATTATCAGTCACATGGTGGGACTTTGATTTGTGGAGTATAGTATAAATAATAACAGAGCTGCAAAATTGTGACAAAACCATTTTATTTAAAAAAAACAATATTCTTTCAAAAATATTTTTTATAAAAGACATATTAATAAATAAATAATTTACATAGCGGCATCGAGCCTGCGTTGTGCCTTTGTTAACCAAATTGCCATCTGGTCTTCAATTTGTCGGGACGTTATTTGGCCATCTAATTTCCTAACAATATCTAAAACTTAATTTATTGGAAAATTTAAATACATTTTACATTTTTCATTACCTTTTATTATATATAGGTATATAACGAAACAAACACAAAAAAGAGCAATAGCAATTAAGGTTAATTAAGTAATGCCCAAATATAGAAAAGGTGTTGGTATTATATAAAATACAGTTTTAAACTTAAAAATAAACCTTGCTGTATCAGTAACACAAAAAATATTACATTTTTTGCCCAAAGAAATGTCATAGGGAGTGAAAAGAACCATTTTCATTCATTTGAACTAACCGATGCTAAAACGTGGTTAAAACAAAATCCAAACAACGAATTAATGGCGCTGTCCTTAGGTACATGGAGAACAATAAATACTACTGCAAGTACCAATATGTTGTGTTGCAGTCTGTAACACAACATATTCGTTGTCGTAGTCAATACGTAAAAAATGTTTAAAACCAATTAATTACCTTTTTCAATCGTAAAATCGTCGTTCTTACGTTTATCTCTGCTTCATACACAGTAAAAATTCTGAGACTGCGAATTAATGGCGCCGGCCAATAAGAGCATCGGTCGTCTTCGATTCATCTCGGACAGAACCGATAGTTACCGATGAACTCAACGCGCCAGTTTTAATTTTTTCCTTTATTGTAGAGTCTACAATGTAGACTCTTTATACCGCATCCAGCTCTGAACAAATCTCTGTGGTTTATACCTATAACTAAACACTATAATCTTGTCAGTAGACATAACGTCACCTGAGAATTATAGTGTTCTATCTGCATTTTTTTTTAAATTGAGGTTAGTCTTGTTTTAAATCTTAAAGATGCCTATTGTTCTATCTATATATAATTGGGGTAGAAATTGTACAGTTTAAGCCTTAACGATAATTCAAATATAAAATATAACCAATTTATTGTTTTTTAAATATAAAAAACATTCACTGGGAATGTTCTTAGATTGTGCCTGGAAGTTTTAGAGGATCATTCTAGGAATATTCCCGAGGAATATTCTCTGGGAATGTTCTTAGATGATGCTTGGAAGTTTTAGAGGATCATTCTAGGAATATTCCCAATGAATATTCCTAGAATGAAGCGGATTATTCCTAGGCGATAGGGAATATTCCTGGAATATTTTCGAACCTTCATTGCAGTCTGGGTACCTACTGCTTTTTATAAATTATTTTCCACAAATTCCTTGTTTAGCAGTTACTGCCTTTCTCCATAGTAGGGCAGAGCACAAGAAAACGCATTTTGCATTTTTTTGCAGTTACTGCCTTTCTCCATAGTAGTATATTATATATTATATATATATATATACATATATATATATAAATATATACAGCCCGTTCAGAGTAAAACCGAATATAGGGAAACGTAGAGGGAGTGGCCTCGCCTCCCTCCAACGCGCGACACAGTAGCTAAGCAAATAGCCTGCATCCCTAATGAGATTTTTTGCATTATTATCATTTAATTTTTAAGTTCGTCTCACCTGCTCGACCTTTCGTCATGTCGTTATCACACAAGCTACTGTGACGCGCGTTGGAGGGAGCCGAGGCCACGCCCAAAACGTTTCCCTATATTCGGTTTTACTCTGAACGGGCTGTATATATATATATATTTATATATCTATCTATATGGTATAACTGGGCGTCCCCTGTGTAAAATTGTAGGTTTACTGAGCGTCCGAAGTCACCAGGCGTCCGATAAACGGACGCTCACTGACCATTCCTTAAGAATCTGCTTAAATAGTATCTTTGGTTGCATAGATTATTTTGAAATAAAAAAATAGCTGGACGCCCACTTGCCGGTTTTTTGATTAACGTTTATAGTGTAGTTCAGCTTATTTCCGCATAAAGGCGCTACGACCCCAAGATATATAAACACGGTGTTTATATATTTACTGCAGCGGTTATCTGGGCGCTACTTTTACATACTACCACCTTTTTTTACTTCGTTTGCAGAATTCATTTTTTTTTTCAACATCAGTTATTTCAGTTCTGCTTAAACAGTATTTATTAAATTAAAATTTATTTTGTAAAAAAATCAAAATTTTTTGTAAAAATATCAAAACTTTTTTAAAACTTATAAAAAATTAAATGGCTTATTAATGTTTTTAATGCCAAATTGTTATATTTTATCAAATTTAACCGACTTTGGATTTTCTTAAAATTTTATGATTTCATATACCTATCTACAATGTAGATTCTACATACATAATATCTACATATATTATTATATGTATTTCTTAGACTACAGGTGTCAAATAAAACGACTTTTGTTTTTTTTTCGGTCCCATATGAAAATAATTTTGTTGGTCACAAAAAAATAATTTAGTCAAAATATCAGCCATATCTTCATTTTTTAATTAGCGCTCGCCAAAATAAGAATTTTAAAAGGAAAATTTTGTTCTCGGTATTTTTTGTTTTATAAACAATTAAATATAACAAATAAACATAAAACCTTTATATTGTTTTGTAGGGGATTAAATTCTCTACGAAGATAACAATTCATCAAATTTAAAAAATAAACTAAGTTTTTTCTGGAGGCTAATAAAAGTTAATTTTTTTCTAAAATTATTGATTTATATTTTTTAAATACATTTTATGACCTAGAAGATTGGTATTTATAGTTTTTATTGATCCCAATATTGTATTTTAAAAGACAAAAATAATTATACAAAAAAATCAAGTAAAATATATTTTCCTTAAACTTATTTTAATATCTAGCGTTAATTAGTAAGAAATACTTTAAGAGCAGATTCTACACACAAAAATAAAATAAAAAAGTTTCCAAAAACATAGTTTATAATAATAATAAGGTAAGTTCCAAGCTTACTTAAAACCTTTTCGAAACGGTACGCTTTTTTGCAGACGCTCAGATAACCTGCAGAGGTATAGGCTCCATGTTAACCGTTTAAATGATATTCCCTCCACAATCCACACATCCACATCCCTCATAAACGCTCGTGTTTATAGTCGGACGCTGAGTAAGAACGCTTAGAGAACGGACGCCGACTTATGCGACGTAGGTAAATATATATATTATATATTATATAGTATGCAAATGAGATTTTATTTTTTACTTCTCATAAAACTGAAAAAAATAATAATGATTATTATTATTATATGGACGACCCCTAATTGAAAACCTCTCAATATTTTAAATTTAGTTTGTGCCTGTTGATATAACTTTAAGAGAAGTCACTGTCTTTTAAGCACTAATTACCTACTTTATTTGTTAAACAAAAACTTACTTTGTTATATTTTACGGACTAAATAATAATCCTAATTATTACGTGAACATTTTATAACTTTAGGTTAGGGGCCATTCAAGTATTACGTAACGCATTTTTTGTCTCTTTTATATATATATATATATATATATATATATATATATATATATATATATATATATATATATATATGGATATATCCAACTCCCCCCTTATTTATGTTATACTAGAAAATGTTAATATCATGTATAATATTAATTAAAATTAATTTTGTTGTTCTAATAGTATAAATTTACAATATTATTAATAATATTGTAAATTATAATTATAATTAATTATGCTGTAGTTTTCCGTTTTTTATTTAAGCCTTCAGATGAATTTTTTTTGGAAATTAAATAATAAATTGCGTTACCTAACACATGGGGCAACCC